AAAAATACATATTTAAGAATGTTTTCCCACATTTAATTCAACAAACACCCATTGAACATATCGATAGAAGATACAGATGCACATGTTGTAGGGAGGGATGCTCTGTAACTTCAAGATGCTCAGAATACAGTGGACAAAGTGTGTGTGTGTGTGTGTGTGTGTGTGTGTGTGTGTAATAAAAAGTTAAAAAGAAACCATTTCTAAACTCAGGTATAAGTGGAAGACTAATAATTTTTGTTAGAGAGACTAGGGAGGCCCTCCTGGAGGAAGTAGTAGTTTAATGTTTAAGGACGAGTAGGACTTTAATAAGTGGAGAAGGGTAATAGGAAGAAGGCCATCTAGGCTTAAGGCTGTAGTGTGTGCAAATGACATGGGGTAATAATGTGTTCAGAAAATGACCCATGCAACTATACTTAGGACAATGTATGAGTCTGGATAAGTTGGCTAGAACAAAATAACAGAGGTACCTGAATATTGGACCTTAACATTTGGCTTCACTCCATAGGCAATGGGGAATCCTAGAAGGTTTTGAGCTAACATGGGCTTCTTCTCCTGCCTCCCCTAACACAATCTATTGTCCACAAAGTAGCCAAGTAGTCATTTTTAAATGAACAAACTCTTCTATGGCTTCTCATATCACTCAGAATGAAACCAAAGCCCTTATCATAGCCAAACTACATCTCTGATTACATGACCTATGCCTCCTGATTTTACTTAATAATGAATAGCAATATGATATTCACAGGCAACTAAAAAAATGGCAGAGAACCTGCAATAGATCTGACCATCCCAAAGGCACAACTGGATTCTGCTCAAGGAATTCAGGACTATAGCTGGGAGACTATGAGTTCATCTACACTCGCTGTCTTTTGCAGCAAGAGGATGATGTTATAAAGTTCAGTTATATTCTGCTACTGTATAATATGCCTAATGATCTGTCTTCTTGCTCAAAAAGCTGAAGAGAGGTAGTCTGATCTGTACAGGTCAAAATAAGGTAATAAAGAGCCTGAAGGTAAGAAGAGAAGAAAGATTTTGCAAAATATGAGTGGGGAAAGACCAAACTCTCTGAAAAAAGAAGTTAAGGTATTGTGGTCTCCTTATGGGTTTGTGGTGACGGTAGGGGAAATGGAAGTGAATCATGCAATCATTCAACAAACATTTACTGAGCACCTACTCAGTGAAGTATCAGACTGCATTCGGTACCAAAGATAAAAGATGCATATAATAATTTTTGGCTTCAAGATGTTCTTTGTCTGGTCAGGTTAAGATGTGTAAATGTGATGTTACTAGTTACTAAGTAATGGGGTGGGGGTGGAGAGGAGAGTCTTTAATTTGGCATAAAGGATTTTTCAAAAGGTTTTTTTTCTTTTTAGGAAGGTGATGCTTCACCTGAGTCTTGAAGCTAATTTCTAATACAGTAATAGCTAAGTTACTTTATTTAATTTATTAACATCAAATTGAGATTCAACATGCCAAGCAAATCTAATTGACCCAAACATTACTGAGACCCTTAAATTTAGTATCATTAGTTCTGTTCTCCAAATAATTCAGTTCGACAGTCATATACACAGAAAAAATCACACGTAATAAATATCAATCAATGGGAATAAAGTTACATAATGATGACATATCCTAACAATGGACTGCTGTACAACCATTTAATTATATGAGATATATATGTACTAAAATGTCTATATCGTTGCATTTTGTAAAACAATAATTGCATTTGTATCTGTTGCCTGGACTAGTTACCTGCCATGACTCCTTAAGGAATCCTCCCATATTTGTGCATTGTCCTGTAGTTGCATATATCCTAATGTTTTATATTTGCCTGTTTATTTGTATCCTCATCTAGAATGAACTCCTCCTGAAAGAGAGAATTGGGTATTTTCATCTTTCCCTGTGTGATGCTTAATTCAAACCTCAGCACATGAAAGATATTCAGTATATAGATAAGGAGTATGAGTAATGTGCAGTATCTAACCTCGCATTCCCTTGACTAACTTTACCCTTTTTTTTGGCCTACTGATTGTTCATAATTATTCTGCAGTCCATTGCTTATAACAATTGCAGCACAACAATGCAGCAGCCAGCTTCTAGTTTATTTTAGGACTAATATACCAATTTGTAACATTAGTGAACAACTGTATGCTGTTTTAATTGTAAAGTAAGAGTTAATTTTTAAATATACTATTTATAATATCTTTGTCATATTTAAGACGATAGGAGGCTGAGTGAAAGAAGATACAGACACATTGAGAAAAAAAGATGATATTGAAGGTACATGATAAAAAGGAGGATATATGGGAGTATATGGAATTAAGTAACAAAAGGACCATACCTGTCTTGTTAACCATTTCATTTCCAGCACTTAGTACAGTGCTTGGTAACTAGTTCAATAAAAACTTGCTAAATTCCATTAATGCGTACAATTATGTATCAATTAAAAAAAACTTTCAAAAAGTTTATGGAAGGATTTGCACTTTTAATATATAAATATTAAATATATTTATTTAATATATCTTTTAATTCAATTTTTCTGCTAAGTACCTTCATATTAGTATATTGTCTAGACTATAAGCATGTCGCTTGCCTCAGAAGAGATCTGTTTTATAGGACAGAAATATTCAGAACTATTTATCTTAATTGAATAATTTATTGAGAATTTTTTTGAGAATCTAGTATGTACTAGATTTTGCCAGACTTTGTGTCTGGAATCAAATGATAAATAAGACTTGACTTAGAAAAGTTTACAACCTGGTGGGAGAAACAAATATGTAAACAAATACTAGTAAATGCATTGTGACAGTTGTATAAAAGAGGGATATATATATTATGGTCTAATAACACAAGCTCAGCTTATTGGAGAAGGAAAGGGGATTCATAAACGATTGCCAAAAAATGCAACCTTAAAGCATGGAAAAGAAGTTTTGAGGGTCCTTGATACTCTTCCCATTTACTGTACTATTTCATTTGTCACAATAATAAAAATATTGTCTTTGCTTTCTATTTTTAGCTTTTAAATTCTATTTCTTATTTATGAAACCATTTTATATGTTTTTCTTATTATTGATCCTTTACTATTATACTAGTTTTATTATACTCAAGATTCTTGAAAAAAACAACTCAAACAGCTGTTATTGAGAAGGTCATACACCAATTCAATATTTCTTTATATTTAAAAATAATTCTAGGTCTTGGACAAGAGAAAATCAGGAGTTTCATGGTTTTAAATTAGATTTCTTATATTCAAGTGCATCAGAAATTGAAAAGCTATCTGTTCAACTATAGAACTATGTTCTTATCATCTTTTAGTTTTAAAAAACTCATTTGTGATGCGTAAGATGCACTGAATAGTTGATTTTGCTGTCTGTTTATTAAAAAGTAGAAGCCGTAGCACTGGAATCTCACTCGCCTGGAATCAACGATTTCACTGTCAAGGAAACTTCCCACTGGCAGGGGCCAATGCATCTTTCATCCCCTTTATTTCTTAGAGGAATAATCAACAAAGTTTATTCTTCTTGTTACATGGCAATATAGTCATTTGTGAAAGTTTCACTAAAAATACCTGCTGGTAATTCAAACTCAGTGTTACTAAAACTGCTCCTGGACTGGAGTTACAGATTTAGGGATGAAACAGTATATTTCTTTATCATGTTATTCAATATCTACTAAGAAACAGTACTTGAAATCCAGGTTTCATTAAGAAAAGGTAGTTAAAATATGCTGGTGATTTTTTTGTTATTATTATTATCAGTATGGTAAATGGGAATCAGTTTTGAGCAAGTTCAAGCATGCCTGTGACATTCAGTTTCTGGAACACAATATAATTCACATACAAGAAAGCAATTCACACCCAAGGAGGCAACTATCCTTTTGTGAAATGTAGTGGAATCCATTCAGTAGACTTCAGCAATATCCCAAACTTGATGCATCTTTAGGTGTTTAGTGAAAATTCAGCAAGACCACACGAGCTTCTCCGTGTATAAAACTGTGATCTTTCTAATGTTTAAATGTAGACATAACATTCAACTGCTCCAAGTTCTTCAAATACTCCTTCAGTATGAAAATCTAAATGTTTTTTCATTACAGTTAAGATCATTCTACCTGCCTAGAGCTCCAGTTTCATTTTCCTTGACTTTGGGTCTCAAACTTCAAGGTCCAGCAAGACTAATCTGCTTTTAGTTCCTAGAATATATGCCCTGCTCTCTCCTTTCCTCATGCCTTGGAATATGTTGTTTTCTCTACACAAATAAATGATGCCCTTCAGTAAAACTCTCTGTTAAATCGTTTCTCCCTTGCCCAGGAAAGTTTAAATGCACAATTTTTCTGTGTTACTGCAGTTTGCATACACAACTCTAATATTCCTAAGATTGTATTATAATTGTTTGACTATCTTTCTCCACCAAAAAAAAAAAAAAAGACCTTGGCAAGGAGGACCTTTTCTCTGTTTTTCCAACATTTAATACAATATTGGGGTCATAAGAAGATCTACAAATACATGCATGAATGAATATTGCCCACTAATACAAATATAGACCTTGGCAAGGAGGACCTCTTCTCTGTTTTTCCAACATTTAATACAGTACTGGGGTCATAAGAAGATCTACAAATACATGCATGAATGAATATTGCCCACTAATACAAATATTTACAATACTTACAAGAGGAATAATAATGTTAGCAGCCATTATTGAGTACTTAATACATGTCTAGCCCAGTGCAATATGCTGTATATGGTTCACCTCCAATTCTCGCCACAGCCCAGCCAGACAGATTATATTACTTCTATTATTTCTATTTTGCCCTTGTGAAAACTGAAGCTCAGATAGATAGTCAAATAGGCTGCACATTGTCATTGAGCAGAATCAGACATGTACCTAAGTTTGTCAGACTCCAATGCCAGTGCTTTCCTTTACACATCAGCTGTCTTTTGATTATTGTCGAGACCTGAAAGACACAAATTAGATGTTGATTAAATCTTTTCCATTTTTTTCCAGCTCCAAGTACAGCCCAGTATGGAATTACCGGGAGCGCTGAAGTTCTTTTCTCCTGCTGGTACCTTGTGTTGACACTGTCCTCTTTCACCAGCATATTCTACCTGAAGAACGCCATTCTACAATAAATTTAAAGACCCATAAAAGGCTTTTAAGGATTCTCTGAAAGTGCTGATGGCTGGATCCAATCTGGTACAGTTTGTTAAAAGCAGCGTGGGATATAATCAGCAGTGCTTACATGGGGATGATCGCCTTCTGTAGAATTGCTCATTATGTAAATACTTTAATTCTACTCTTTTTTTGATTAGCTACATTACCTTGTGAAGCAGTACACATTGTCCTTTTTTTAAGACGTGAACGCTCTGAAATTACTTTTAGAGGATATTAATTGTGATTTCATGTTTGTAATCTACAACTTTTCAAAAGCATTCAGTCATGGTCTGCTAGGTTGCAGGCTGTAGTTTACAAAAACGAATATTGCAGTGAATATGTGATTCTTTAAGGCTGCAATACAAGCATTCAGTTCCCTGTTTCAATAAGAGTCAATCCACATTTACAAAGATGCATTTTTTTTTCTTTTTTGATAAAAAAAGCAAACAATATTGCCTTCAGATCGTTTCCTCAAAATATAACACATATCTACATTTTTCTGCTCTGCATTTTTTTTTCTTTTTTGATAAAAAAAGCAAACAATATTGCCTTCAGATCGTTTCCTCAAAATATAACACATATCTACATTTTTCTGCTCTGCATTTTTTTTTCTTTTTTGATAAAAAAAGCAAACAATATTGCCTTCAGATCGTTTCCTCAAAATATAACACATATCTACATTTTTCTGCTCGCATGATATTCAGGTTTCAGGAATGAGCCTTGTAATATAACTGGCTGTGCGGCTCTGCTTCTCTTTCCTGTAAGTTCAGCATGGGTGTGCCTTCATAAAATATTTTTTTTCTTTTTGTCTCCAACTAATATAAAATGTTTTGCTAAATCCTACAATTTAAAAGCAAAAATAAACCACACTGTAAAGTTAAACTACACCCTGTCTCTAAAGAACATAGGAGCTATTGGGCTGTAAAAATGTCTTCCTTCGATACCGGTGGGGTTTGAGAATTTTGCCCCATAATAACTCAGTTTTTGTGATGAAAAGCAATTTAATAACAGTACAGTAAATGTATCATATGATTTCTTTAATTGTAGCTAAGTATTAGGTCCACTGTGAGATATAATTCCCTTTAAAATGACAGCACAGTTCACTCAAGGGATTGATTGTCTAGCAATACAGCATATTGTTATGCAGCAGATCAGTCCCTGAAATAACTAATTATTTAATAAAATCTTTCTGTGTACCTATTTCAGCTCAAACAAGTGAAGCCCAGAAAAAGATCATGCTTTATTTTTACATGATATTTGAAAGTTGTGATCAAATGGAGACAAGACAGCAGTGATGAGAATACTTTAAGATATATTAATTATTAAATTATTGTGAATATTAAAATATTTCTGTTATAAATAAAAAAAACAACATTTTTGAAGGAAAATGCTGTTACTCTAAGTATTGCACTACAGGAATAGTTTGATGGTTTTAGTCTTTACTAAAGATAGGCCATAGCCTTGAAAGCCATTTTACAGGTTGGATGAAGTTACCAATTTTTGTACATCTAGATTTCTACAAATAGTCTCCCTATGTAAGTCATAACAGCAACAAATATCCTACTAATAAAATTATTTATTTAAATTTTTGGGGTTTTTATTTTTTGGTGACTGGCTGGTACAGGGATCTGAATCCTTGATCTTGGTGTTATCAGCATCATGCTCTAACCAAGTGAGTTATAAGTGAGCTAACTGGCCAGTCCACTATGAATAAAATTAGATACAAGAAATTTTACAGAAATTATACATGTATATTTACAATGTCTGATATTTTTTCTCTCAAAGGGATGGCTTGAAACTTGTGATTTTTTTCAAGTAAAATTTAGTCCCAAAGTTAATCTATTTTACTTAGGAAAAATGAATCTTAAGTAAGGGTCCATAAACATAGTCTTTCCATAAAATGACAATAACAGGGCCTAATTCTATTAAATTTTCTAACTGTAATAAATTTATGACATTATTTTGACTGATATGGTAAACATGGATTTTTAAAACAAATATGGCATTTAACTTTATTATTTATTTGCTTTATAAAAATATTCTTTGTGGCATTGGTGAGTAAACTACAAATTTTTTTTTTTGTATTGCAGCTTTAAAGTGGCACACTCCATAATAATCTACTTACTAGAAATAGTGGTGCTACCACAAAAGTGTTAACCATCAGTACCGTTGTTTGGGAGAAAGAAACAGATCAAGAATGCATACTATACAGTGACCGCTTTCCTAGAGTTAAAAATACCTCCTCTTCGTAAGGTTTGTAGGGTAAATGTGAGGTAAATTGAGGTATAAACTATGAATGAACCAAATAATTAGTTCAAAGTGTTGTCATGATTCCGAATTTGTGGAGTCTGGTGTTTTCCCATAGAATGTGACAGAAGTACAGTCATAGCTCAGTAGCTATATGTATTTGCCTTTATGTTAGAAGAGACTTTCCTGAGTGACATTTTTAAATAGAGGAGGTATTCACTATGTTTTTTTGTATCACAGCAGCATTCCTAGTCCTTAGGCCCCTGGACAGAGTGAAATCATGAGTATTTATGAGTTCAGTATTGTTCAAATAAGGCTACAGTATTTGCTTTTTTGTGTGACTGTATTGCATATAATGTTCAAGTAGATGATTTTACATTTATGGACATATGAAATGTCTGATTACTCCATTTTATCAGTCCTGACTGTACAAGATTGTTGCAATTTCAGAATAGCAGTTTTATAAAACTGATTATCTTTTGATCTATAACAAATGTTTTAAGCTATTCATTCAGCATTATATTTTCCACAAGTTCCATTCGTGGGACTCCTTTTATTGCCCCTAATTTTTTTTTTCTTCAAAAAAGAAAGAAAAATAAAGAGCAGTTGAGAAAGGAGAGTGGAGAGAAAAGGAAAGGAGGTAAAATAGAGAGGGAAGAAAAGGAAGGAAGAAAGGAAGAAAAGAAAGGATTAAGGAAGGAAAGATGGAGAAAGGAAGGGTGAGAGGGAGGGAAGAACCGGAATGTTGGGAGAGTTCACTTCTTCATTTGCGTTCTTACTTTAAGTGGTATAATTATGTTTTACAATGATCTCATTTGAAACATAAGTCCTGTTCCACCATTAAGTTCCCATTATGCAGCAATTATATAATGAAAAGTACTGCCCAAGTTATGTATTGTGTTTTTTGAGACACTAAAAGATTTGAGAGAGAGAATTTCAAACTTAAAGCCACTTTTGGGGGGTTGATATCTTCACTGAAAAGTTTAATGTTTCATCATAACATTTAAGCTATATCTAGAAAGTAGACTGGAGAACTGAGAGAATTACCCAGATAATTGACAACAAAAAATATATATATAAATACCCCTATGTGTGAAGTCAGAAAACACTGAGAAACTGAATTATCAAAGCTAATCATCTATATTGATCAAATTTACTGAATAATTGTTAATTTATCCATTGTGCTTAGCTTTGTGACACAGCCAAAAGTTACCTATTTAATCTTTTCAATAAAAATTGTTTTTTGAAATCCAGAAACGACTTGAAAAGAGGTCAGGTTTTTAACTATTTATTGAAGTATGTGGATGTACAGTATTTCAATAGATATGAATATGAATAAATGGTATGCCTTAAGATCCTTTGAATATGTATTTACTTTAAAGACTGGAAAAAGCTCTTCCTGTCTTTTAGTAAAACATCCATATTTCATAATCTGATGTAAAATATGTTGTACTGTTTCCAATAGGTGAATATAAAGTCAGTTTATCAATTAAAATATGTATTTGACTCATTTTAAAACTCTATTAGTTTAAGAGCAAAAAGAAAAAAAAATAATCATTTAAGCATATTTCTGTTATTCCCTTCTTCATTTCCTACTATATCCACTGTATCACACTCATCTTTCTAATATTCCATAGCAATACAGGGTGAAAATTTTAGATGCTACAGTTTCAAAGGGCTGTAGTCTTTCTCTCTGTTGCTGATTCCCAAAAGGTTTGACGAGCTGAGCTACATCTAACCTAAAAAGAATTTTTCAGCAGATATTTTATTATCAATTGTTTAGAACTTTTACCAGCTGAAATGCAGCAGTTAGCAACAGAGATAAAATCATGATAGTCTTACAGCTAAGCAACTGAACACTCAAATGCCTGTAGGAGCCAGGCAAAGTATAATTTCTTAAGACAGCTGGGTATAGAACAATGTGGAATGTGTGCTCCACCTCAAGACATTCAGATATAATTTCCTTAGAAACACCTTTCTTCCCAAATAAAACATGTAATTTGACTGAGAGTCCTTAGTTTTTGAGTGCTATTATATGTAAATGGTGGCCACCCAAATGAATGATTTAAGCCACCTATCCCAAATCTGTCTATCTATGATCAACGAAATAAAGGGAAACAATGTGGCAGATAAACCAAAACAACCAACCATGAAAAAGATCCACTCTTGGTTTAGTAAGCTATTTTGAAATATGGGTGTCATTGCTATTCTGGGAAAACCATATACACCAAACCCTTCCCCACAAAAAAAAAATGAAAAAAAAAGCCAACTAATAAATGTCTAATTTTCCCACTGCCTCATTATTTCTTCCCTTTTCAACTTCTATATGAACTCAATTCCATTATGGAAACAGAAGCAGACCCAGAGAATTGGCATGTGAAGTAGAGCTCATTTCCCTCTGAACAAAATAAGTCAAAACATAAATACATCAAAACTACATTCAGGTATTCAGAAAATAATTACTCATTTTAACCTGTTAGGCAGAAATATAAGTAAAATTTCAAGAGAAAATTTTCTAAGCATAATTCATTTCACATAGGGGCATTTGGTCCAAACACCAGGGAGTTTATGCACTACCTCTGATCTTTCCAAGAATCCTATGCCTTCACATTCACGTGAACTTTTTTCTAATTCCCAACTTACTGAAAATATTCAGGCATTGATATCTCTTGTGGGAGGAGGACAAATTGGCAAGCAAATGAAAATAAATAATTGCCAGTATTCCTGAAAACAAAGATAAGAGTAATGGTTTTAATTCTTCTCCTTAGACGCTTCATCCATGGTCATCTTAAGACTAGAACAAACTTTGAAAGTCTTTGGTCTAAGAAACGTGCTCCACCTCAAAAGTACTTCTGAAGTGTCACAACTACCTCTGCCTTGTATTTTATAATGGCAAACCATTTTGGTAGACATCGCTACATCGGCTCACCCAACACTCCAAAATACTTAAAGAAGAAAATATTATTATTGTCATGTACTGATGAGGAAAATTAGATTCAGAAATTTTAAGTCAATTTCTGGAGATTACACTTCTACTAAGTGGTAGATTTGAGCCAAAGGTGCAATGTAAAATACTCCCAATTTGTTTCTATTCCCACTGGCCTTCCAAGGAATACGAGTAGGAAAAAGATGTGATTACATTGCTTCACAAACAATTACATGTATATTTATATTTATATACAAATAACTTTATTTATACATACATATACACATACATATGTGTGTATGTAATATATGCATATATATTTCTGC